CCACCCTAAAACTGATGTAAGGCTACTATCCTCTTCCAATGACCTCCTTCTGGTCCAACCCATGACAACTAAGTCACAGAGGAAGGACAATACTTTTAAGTGATCTGGTGTTGTTAAAATGTGCACATAGCTAATTCACATAATAGCCAAGACTGGGGAAGGAAAAAAAAGGGAGTAACATTTGTTTTTCCACATTCTCATTAGCATGGGAAGTGACAAATGAAAGAGAAGTTCTTTGTGGCAGGACCATGTCTTTCTAGATATCTGTATTGCACCTGTCACACTATGGGGTTCCAGTCTGGATTAGCACCTTTGGTGAAATTGCAATAAAAATAAAATTCTTCCAGGTAACCCAAAGCTTTTTCCAGCATGGACAAAAATGAAGGAGTGCTACATTTATTTAAATTAACAAAAATAGTATTCTATGTATGTAGTTTCTTGCAATAAATCAGTCTGCAAAAATGTTTTAAGCATTCTAAAAAGCAGCAATACATTTAAATGCTGTATGCTCTAGAGATCTAAAACAGTGCACACCTGACATGCAATAACACAGCAAGATTCAAATTTAAGTTACTGAAAATCTTGAATGTAGATTTTAAGTGAGACCACCACCCAAAGCATGAGATCATCATCAAATAATCATTCAGTGTGTCTTAGTGCAGGATGGGGACAGAAGGGAGTTTAAACATTTAAAAAAAAAATACACACACACTTTGGAGCTATCACCCACACAAGATTCTACTTCAAATGGGTTTTAGTGTCAAGTCTATACAGACTATGCATCAATCTGGAAATACTCATTTGAGTACAGAGCTGAATGACCTTGATTCATTTTGGATATGTTGAATTAGTAAGACTTTCACAGCCTAAATTATAAATGTTAACAGAAATAACTTTGTAAACATTTCCCAGTTAAAATAATTTGAACACACACCAATACAAGTTAGGCTGTCAACAAGAGCCCCAAATTAGACTCCCGGCAGAAAGCAGCCTGGTTGTTTCAAGACCACAGGAATTGCCATATCAGATAAGAACAGCAATCCACATAAACCATTATCCTGTCCATGACCAGTACCAAATGCTTCAGAGGAAGATGCAAGAAACCTTGTAGTGGACAATTATGAAATAACTGTCTATAAGAAGTCTCTTAAGACCAGCACTAACTGACAAGAGTTAAGTCCTCAAGCATTAAGTTTTTATCCCTTCTTTAAAAAAAATTTAATCCTATCATGTAACTGTGGATGTTCTCATACATATATATATAATCCTATAAAGCTCTTGGACTCAATGATATCTAGTGGCACTGAGTTTCACAGATTAATGAAGTTTTATTTTTTAACTGATCACTTCCAGAAACTGGAAGAGGTCTTAGACTGCAAAAAATCACTATTTAAGTACATGCAAGTTGAGTTTAATCAATGTATCAAGGTACCAAGTGAAAAGGGGCATAACAGTTAACTATACACCATAGGTGTCTTTATATTTCTAGTCCATTTCTTAACTTCTTTCAGGTGAAAGATTTCTCCTAATAGTATTAGGACTTAAGTGACGAGGAAATAAGCTTTGGTCCTGCACGAAGAGCATAAAGGACAAGAAACCAACAACACAGAAGGACATAGTAATTTCCACTTTCAGCAACACTTGTGACTAGCAGGCACCCTACAAGCAGTAAGGAACGAAGTTCAAAAAGAACTTAGTCTCCCATCCATAAGAAAGCTAGTAAGTCACAGGCTCCAGGAAGGCAACATGACTAAGGCCATGTCTACACTTACAAGCGTACAGAGGCACAGCGATATAGCTGTGCTGCTGTAAAAGCACTCATGTAGTCGCATTATGTAGTCGCATATAATAAAACCAGCTCAATGAGCGGCAGTAACTATGTCGGCAGGAGAGTATCTCCAAACGACAGAGCGCTGTGCACGTGAGCGTTTATGCCGGCAAAACTTATTGTAGCTTAGGGTGGTGTTTTTTCACACTCCTGAGCAACAAAAGTTTTGCTGTTACAAGTGCTAGTGTAGACATAACCTAAATCACTGAGGCAAAAATTTGGCTTTAATAATAAAACAAGTTGCAGTGAACTACTTTTGACAGGAAAAAAAACTGAACTCTACTAGCCAAGAAGACTCTAAACACACACAGTTATAAGGTCTACATTAAATAAGTTTTTATCCAGCTTCCTGGAGAAGACAAGTTCTCTCCCCAGCAGGTTTGATCCAACTAGGCTGCCTGTAACACAACCCTTCATCATTCCAGGGTACTTTAGACAGAATTCATTGCCATTTGAGGAAAACAGGCCTTTTGGAAGAAAATCTAACATAAAAGGCCTGCTCTTCACAAGCGTCGAAAATTTTGTAGCATTTTTCATTAGTAGCAGTACTGGCTCTAATGTCCTTGATCAAATTTCCCATTCCCCCTATTATCCAGTGTGTCTATTTGGTTGCCATCCACCATAAAAGATGTAAGCTAGATTTCAGTAGTTCTCTGTACAATACATAAAGTTTTTGGGATGAAGGATGCCACAGCAATGTAAAAATAGTAGTGCTGGACAAGGCACAACAAATAGCCAAGACCGAGTCAACAAAATCTACTAAAAGAGTTGGACAATAAATCAACTGGAACCTTGATTCCACATGCATTCACGTATGTTTTGCACAAGCTCAATTCATAGAAGATACAGAATTTCAAATGCACTTTGTTTTTATATACTTGTCAAAACAATCCCTCCCAACATTTTATTCCAAAGAAAGAGCAACAGTAGAATGGAACAAAAAATTTAGGGTCAATGAAGAATTAAGATTAACTTAGTTTATTAATATGGTGAAATAGAGGCTTTGTAAAAAGGGATTTGCTCCACACATCTGCCTTTAGAACACCATGATGGTTCAAGATGTTTGGTTCTTATCTATACTTTTATACAGAAAGAGTGCTGTATAAAGCTATTCTTGTCTTCTAGCAGGTGGCCATGCAAGACTGTCATGAAAATGTACTCGTCCAGGCACAATAATACACTTGCCTTCCCTTTGCCATTGTGATAGTGGTAGTGATGATTATAATGATAAATAAACCTAATTATATTTACTCACACATCCAAAAAAAAAAAAAAAGTTACTTGCCCTGAGCGAGAAGGCTAGTAGAATTTTACAATGCTGACATAAGCTATGTTACTCAGAACTTAGCTATTACAGCAACATGTACTACAGACAAAGTCTACAATAGTTATTACACTGGAATATATAATGAATCAGAACGGAGGCTGGAAGGTAGCCTTATGCCACAGGCAAAACAGAAACATAAAAATTAAAAATAAGGTACTGCATCAAAACAGATATTAGAACAAGCTCTTTAATAGTTAGAGGCTGTGTGAGTGCTAATGGTCAGTGTTACTGCTCATCTTAGAATTTCAGAATAAATACAAACATGAATGCCAGAGAATTAGAGCTGTGGATTTATGTATGGAGTCACCAAGTCTCTGTATCTCTGTACATAATAAAAAGTACAAAGTAAAGTTACTGCCCAATGCTGCTGGAAAAGAACTTCCTTTTTTACTTTCTTTGACTATCCTATGTAATATTTATATATCAAACAAGATGATTAAATGTTTAGGAATATTTTCAGATTTGGAATCCTTCTACACAAAACCGAGTTTACTGCCCAAAGTATGTCCTGACTTCTTGTTTTGTTCTGCCTCCAGCACGTTTGTTAACGAGATGTTTCAGTCAATCAATAGATCGTTGCAGCGGCCTCCAGTGGCGAAACCCTGCAGCACCGACAGCATCCAGTCCCGGGAGCTCTCAAAATACATTGTGTCTATAGATACTAATATTACTTTCGCCTTCACTGCGCTACTTTGTAATTTTGGGATTCGTGATTCCACAGAGCGCAGAAAAGAATATTACTAAAAAGGTGCAAACCTGCGACAAGTTACAGAACCTATGTGAATAGGGATCAATAGTCGGTCTCTCCTTAGGTGACCTAACACCTAACAGAAAACACAATCTGCTTCGAAAATCCCATACCGATGAGACACTGAAACGGATCAGTGACAAGGTGTGGGTTTCTCAGGTGACCTCAGGGGTTTTGGGGAAAGAGTAAGGCAGATGGTTGCTTAACACAGGAACATTGCCGTGACACGTGAAACCCCAATGGCACCCGACAGAATCACCCAAGCAAACCCGCAGGCAGCAAGAACTGATCCAACTACACAAAGGCCAAACACTGGAATAGGCTCTGCGAATTACTGGATTATTTTAGATCTCTGCCTTCTCCCGTACTCCTACAGGCAGGTTACAGGAAAGATATAAAAATTAAAGATGGCTAAATGTGTCACGTTGTGTATTTTAATGTACAATCTAAAACTCTAGAGGGCAGCCGAAATATGCCCTCCCCCTCCCCAGCTGAGTAACATGAGCAGCAGCAGCAGGAGCCCGTCGTCTGCTTGCTGGAGTTGGTATTGCAGGAGCGATGCCTGCAGCAGCAGCGCCCACCCCGAGGAGGAGCCGCCTCACAGCCATTACAGGCGCTTCGCCCCAGGGCAGCAGCTGCTGCACCCAGGCATCTCCCCCACCCTATCCCAGACGCTCCTCTTCTTACCCCGATCCCCACACCACAACGGAGAAGGGGGTTGACCCCCCAAAGGCAGGGCTACTTGAGGCAGTAATAGATACATAAATAGCACTCACAATGGAGCTCCTCTCCTTTCTGGTCTCTGCCAAGGCTGCACCAAACTGGGCTGGAGCCTAGGGGAAAGGCATGGGGGTTAACATGAGGCCGGGGGGGGGGGTCGGCAGAGTCCCCTTTGCCTGGGCAGGTATTACCTGCATTGCCCGCCACTTCCCTCCCCCCACTTCTACACATGGCCTTCCCAGTGGGTTATGGGGTATTACCCCAAAGAGACATCCTGCTCCCCGCTGAAGAAAGGATTGCACGGATCTGCCCCGGGGCCTTTCCTGGGAAGGTGCAAGTAAGAGGCAGCCCAGCAGCAGAGAAAGGGGGATTATTACCTGCTAACTTGCCCGAACAGCCCCTCAGCGGAGTCCCCGGCCGCGGGGGGCACAGAGCCCTCAGCAGCCACCCCTCTGGGCTGGAATAACGCCCTTGCGCCCCGCACGCTCCCTCAGCAGTTGCCCCGGGTCTCGGGTTTGCCCCCCTGCAGTCGGCCGGCAGCACTGCCGCCTCCTGTCCGCCATTAGAGACACCCAGCCAAACAATACGGGAGGGGAGCAGCGGCGGCGGCAGCAGGATCCGCGGAGCGCAGCGCCGGGCAAGGGAGGGAGACACCCGCGGGCGGGAGGGGGCGAAGAAGCGGGGCATAACAACAGCGGAGGACCCGGAGGAGGAGGGAGCGAGTTAAAATAGGAGGCGCTAAAACTGAAACACCCCTCCCCCCAAATGCCCCTGCGCCCCCGGTTCTGTCCCAGACCCCCTCCGATTTACCCCGTTCGCCCCCACCAGAGCGAGACAGTCAGTGGGGCTGCCCTGGTCCTACCCGCTCCTCTCCGTGGCGAGAGGCGGCAGCAGCAGCGACGCCACAGTGGGGCACTTAGCCCGGGTGGCTGTGAGGCACGGCAGCTCCTCTCCCATCCCCGCCCTAGGGGCAGCTCTGAGCCTCCAGCTGCCCCCCGTCCGCCCCTAGGGTGCGGCACTCCCCGTCCCCACCTTACCCAGCTCCCCACCGCTCACAGGCACGGGTCTCCCCCTCCCCCCGGTCACACGCACTCCGCGCTACTCCTCCGCCGCCTCAACTCTAACTCGGTCCAGTCCCGGGCTAAGCGCAGCTGCTAGCGAGGGGAAGGAGGAGCAGGGCCAACCGAGCTTGGGGAAGAACGGCCTTCCTAATCCGCGCATTGGCTCCCACAAAGGGAGAGCTTTAGCGGTAGGCAAGCCGATTGGAAGGACCGTCCGTCCATCAGAAAATCCTGCGGCAGGTTGGGTCTAAAAGCTGCCAATCTTTCTTCTAACCACGCCCACCGTTCTTCCCACTTTAATCCATCAGGTTAGAGAAACCCGAATTTCATTGCCCACCAGCAGCAGCAGTTCTAATACCCGAGTATTGGGGCTGGGAGGCGACGGGGGCTCCGCTCCGGTTCCCAGTGCTGCTGTTTGACAGTAACTTGCAGAAGTTTGGGTACAAGGCTGGCCACACTCATCCAGACAACTGCTGGGGTGGGGAGAGTATTACCTATCCCATCCTTGTGCTGAGTCCCCATGGGCAACTGCCCCAGTCGTGGGCACGGGGTAATTACCCCATGGTCGCCGAGGGCAAGGCGGGCACAGCTCGTCCACAGCTTCTTATAGGTTGGGCCCCGCCCCCGGCAGGGCTGTAAACCTGGGCTGGAGCCATTTCCATGAAGGACAGAGTGTGGCTAATGGAAACCCTCCCCCACAGAAGAGCGAGAGAGCGCACAGTCCCCTCTCCCGGGGCAGAGACTTTCCACACCCATGTCTCGTCGCCTCCTCCACAAAGGACTCCCACCCACGCTGGGGGAGGGAGCCATGTCAGCAGCCGCCATGGCTCCTGGAGGAGCTGCTGCTGGTGGTGGTGGTGGTGGTAGTGGTGGTAACGTCCTCCATTTTGTCGGAAGCTGCTGCGGGGAACTTGGGACCAATTCAAACCAAGCTGAGGCTCAGAAAGGGGCCAGTTTGAAGCGCCTCTGCCTTGCAGTGACACACGCAGGGCGCCCCAGGCAATGCCCTGGGGGTGGTCCGCGGGGCTCAGAGCGGCAAAGGCGGCAAGACTCCGAGAGCCAGGCTCTCCTCGCTCCCTCTGCCAAAATGGAGGCTGCGCACTTCCTTTGCGCGGCTGCTTCCCCCTCTCTAGCCATGGGACTCACGCCCGCTTCTTCGAGGACCTGGAGATCTCAGCCTCGCCCACTGCTAGTTAATCCAGCTCTTCCTCCTGAACGGCTCCCCCCTGCCCAGAAAGGAAGCAAATACCAGCCCTCTCCACCCTGCATCAATTCATGTCAACCACGCTGTGCAAAACGCCCCCGGAGAGAGCCTCATGCCTGTGTAAGGCGCACGGGTCAGTCGAGCTGCTTGCTCCACTTCCATCCCACCTCGGCAACCCTCTCACAGTGCAACCACAAATGCCAGGGGGTCGGGGCGGGTAATGTGCGGAGGAGCAGTGCCTCTGAGAAGGAGCTGAAGGGCTGGGCTCTTCTCCTGCGTGCCCTTGGTGTGTTAGGCTAATAATTTTCCTGCGGGGGATAGACTAGAAATATTAAAGCTTCTTTTGTCTCACTACAACTAATTCCTTCCTAACAGCCCCACCCTGAGACTCAGACTGAAGTCAACAGCCCAAGCCAAACACTTTTGTGACACCATTACTACATGGTGGTGGTAGGAAAGGATGATTAGTGCACTTCACCCTAGCTGTGGATGCCCTGGAAAGACGAGAACACCTGTTGCTATGGGGGAACATATATGTGTCCCATGGTAAACGGCACCTACGATACAATGTCATACTTGCCATTTTTGTGTCTGGCGCAAGAAAGAAATGAAGTGATAAAGGAAAAGGTCTAACTCAATGACTATGAAAGGATGACATTTTAAATTATGTTAATCACCATCCACAGTGAGGGATTCTTTTGAGTTAATTTTGTAAATAGTTTGAACCAAAACAGAAGAATGTTCAGCTAATTAAATACATAAAAACCAGAGAAATTTTTAAGATTAAACAAAAAATAAAATAAAATGATATAGTCTACCATTTCTACATTTGGTTTTTTTGTTTTGTTGTCTTTGTTTGTTTTATGGGATCTCTGTATCTGAGAATCAAAACAAATTTAACTTATCCTCAATGGTCCACATATTTTGGCCACCCTTCTAGTTGCAGAGGAATAAACATGGCTCTGGTCTCTGTTCATTAAAACATCCTTACTCTGGAACTGTGCTTAAGTACATGCTTAATTTTAAGTATGTGTTTAAGTCCTGTTGAAGTCAATGGAACTTAAATGTGATTTTAAGTGCTTTTTTTGAATAGGGATGGACTTCAGCATGTGCTTGGGTGCTTTTCTGAATCAGGATTTGTAGATGGAATCCGTAATTCTATTTAATCAGTCAAAAGAGTAACCACTGAGCACTCTGCCACTACAAAGTCCCAGCAAGAGACCTGAACTAGCAATGGCATATAGGTCCCTCACACATTAGTACAGATCATTATCACTAGGACACCAGAATGTAAAGTTTATGTTTAAATTTGAACATTTGTGCTTGCAATTTTAGAAATGTATGTATTTTCTACTGGAGTTTTGCTAATCGTAATTCCACTAAAGGATCACAAATCCTAGCTTTGAATTCACTGTTTCATTACTCAAACTTGGAAAAAAGTTATGGCATATACCAATTATCTTTTAATTATTTTTTCAACTGACAGCAGTGAAAAGTGAGGGTCTGGCATAGACACTTATACTTTCCACTTCAAGCATTGTTGTATTGAGTTTTATCTGTCTTGTCATCCACAGATCCATGGTGAGGCTGACCTTATTTAAAAATACCATTAAAATTAATCAATTCCATCTTATGGTTTGAAAGCACTTGCTCTAGCTCAAAAATAAATAAATAAAGTATAATATATCTCTTCATAAACACCATGGATGTGAAACTGATGTGTTTATACTCTCCATGCTACAGCTCTCATGGACAGGTCTGATGTCAGCAGCATCACTACAAAAGTTCTAATTTACTGACGAAGTAGATAAATTCACCAAAGCTGAACGAATAGTATAAGTAATGACTTACGTGAAGAGTGATATCCTTCTATGTCTCATGAAGTAAAAGTGTGGCAACTAAGTCGATTGTATTTTCACTGAGAAGGCAAAATCAAATATTTGACATATTTTAAAAAGGATTTAGACTTTCACAGGAATCCTGACGTGTTTATCAAGCCAGCTTCAAATCAGGTGTAATAAATTGTGGGATTGGAATGTATGTACTTTAAATCTTCCTCCTACTCCCGCCAACATTCCCAAGTGTTCACACATTCGAACGAATGGTTAGACTCTTGTTCCAGAATTAGAAAGTGAATATTCCATTTATTCAAGGACTCCCTCTTCACTATCACTATCAGGATTTACAACACTGTAACTGAGGACAGAATCTGGCCCAGACCCTCTGGAATTATGACTGTTTTCAAGGAAGAAGAGGCAATATTTGGATAAAATAAGTGTCTACCACTATTTGGCATATGTGAACACTTGGAAAGTGGGAGGGAACAGGAAGCTTTAAACTACATAGACTTCAATCCTACAATTGATTTGAAGGCTGCCTTGGAAAAGTATCTGTCTGGAACCCTAATAAAGCATATACCTTTTAAAATGTAAGTGCAATTACTATGACCAGTGTGAGTGAAAATAGAATCTGGCCTCTTGTACAATTTGTAACAAAAATAATTAATTTCTGTGTGCTAATTCATTGTTTTTCCTCTTCTCCTGTCTATCTCCCTCACAGTCCCTCTGTTTCCAGTCTCACTATCCCTGCTTCCATTCTTCTCTCCTTCCTCTCCTTATTTCCTGTACTCATTTACCTTTCTCCTTCCTCAGTTTCTTTTTCCCTTCCTTATTTTGTCCCACTTTCTTGCTCCAATTTACTCAACTCCTTCTGCCATTCCTCAGCCCAACCCCATCCTATACTAAGTACATTCATACATGCATACATAAAAACAAAGAAAGAAAGAAGAAACAGATGTTTATAAATTCCTTCGGACTGGAACAGTCTTTGTGTGTGTGTGTGTGTTCATACAGTGCCTAGCACAGTGGGGTACAGGTCTATGATTTGGGTCCCTAGGTGCCCTGGGTAATCATTCGAAGGGGCAGCAGCATCTACCGCTGAGCATATCCATGGTTGCTGATAGTGGAACGGCCTTTAGCTATGAAGGCTAGCTGCAATATAACCAGGGAGACATGTCAAATAAGAAATTGCAGACAATCCGACACAGTACTGACAATACCACAAAAGCCCAAAGACTGTACTGGACATGGCAAATGTAAGCTGCAATTAAATAAGCCTACAGCCAATCCTAATCATAGTGGCATGCAATTGCCTTACCAGAAGGGATTCTGGAAAGGCTAATGATCCCCAAGGGGTCAATGATATTTGTTCATAGAAGATATTTGTGAAACTATCTGCTAGTACCAACTGACATGGAAAGTTATACAGTATAATTAAACCTGCAAAGAAGCCTTGCAATCTGACTAGCTTCCTTGTTCCCAGGCAAGACAGTGTAAAATGGAGTACCGGGTGCACTGATGTGGTGACCAGGCATCCTGTATAAAATTGACTACTGGAAAATTGGAAAAATAATAGAGCTAAATAACCAGAACTATGGATGAGATGATGAGAAGGATGAATTTAAAAATAGCACCATTA